TATGTATATGTATATGTATATGTATATGTATATGTATATGTATATGTTGATTTGTCTGTTTTAAATGTATGTCAAATAAATGTTTTTTCTAGAATAAAAAAAAATAGAATTAAACTAGATTGCAACATTTTTCATATACTACCTCCCTTCAATTGCAGCATATTGGAGGACTGTACTAGAACTACAGTAAGATTTGAACTATATAAATACAGTATTCAACCTGGGATGGAATGCTTACCCTGTAATCCCCATTTATGTACTGTCCAAGTTCACGGTCTCGTTTTCTTTCATCAGACTGGCGTTTGAGACCACGCACTGATGTGTGCCTTATTACTGTAGCTTCTTTAGGAAGAGGTGGAACAGCTGGTGGGTTATTATCAGTGCTATATAGCTGTGGGAGAGGAGGTCTTGGTGGTGCTTCATCTTCCTGACATTGCATAAAAAAGAAACATGTTAATTGCTTCATGTGGAAAATAAACCAATTCTCCTGCTCAAATCACAGCAAATAACATATATAAATTTGATACCACATTCTTTCAAGGGTTTTTTTCCTGGAAATTCCTCAGTCACAAGTCATTTATAAGCAGATTAAATCAAAGCTTTAATTACAATCAAGAACATTGTAAACAAACCTACAAAATGTTATTTATCTGATTATCAGTCTTCATTATCCCATGTTCTACAAACAAGGAAATCCATTACCATTTCCAGTGCATTTTAGCCCATTTAATTACAAGAATGTTTCATAATGGCACTTACAACCTTTGGTTCTAATTTCACTGGTGACTGGATTGGAGGTTCAACTTTTTTCACTTGTTGGGAGGGAGAAAACATTCTGGGCTGTGTATAAGGCTGAGGAAAAAGTCTGACTTCCAATGAGGGCTTGATAGGACTAGTTGGTGGACTTTGCTGAGTAGAAAGTTTGCTGTCTGTTGACATGAGAGTAGATGATGATGAAGGCACTAGAGGCTTTGAAAATGAAGGCACTGTTTTTCTTTCTGGAAAAATACGCATTACATTCAGGTGTAGTACAGAAAAATGAATAACCTCCATAATAAACAGTATGAAAGTAAAACTAGTGTTTGGAAAACCACCTTAAGATTTACTGCTTTTTTAAAAAAATCCCAAATATATACATTTTAGGACACCATCTCTGAAAACAAAAGGCATCAGTCAATTATTATGTGGGAGTGTTAATAATAAAATACCAGAAACCTCATCAGGGAAAGGTAACTTAGCTTTTATGTTGGAAAAACATTATGAATTGCAAAAAGTGTGCCAAGTTGTTCTTTCTGTGATTCAGGTATCATTAGCCTAACACCGTAATGGTGAATCTATGGCACATGTGCCAGTCATGGCACATAGCGCCCTTTCTGATGGCACATGAGCCGTCACCCCAGTTCAGCCTCCCGCCAGCCAGCTGGCCTTCAGGTCTCTGCCGCGCATGTGTGCGGGTGCCAGGGTGGGTTGTGCACGTCTGCATGGGGGTGCATGCGTGAGGGGCCTACACATTGCATTTTGGGGGGTTGGGTGCGGGACCGTGCATTCGCGCACATGCTTTGGGCACTCAGTCCGGAAAAGGTTAGCCATCACTGGCTTAACATATAAGATACAGTAGAGACACACATATATTGATTTGATAATATTCTGGTAACACATTAAGTTTTCTTACCTGGATTCTTGATAGATTCGATGATGACTTTATAGTTGGATTTATTTGTACTTAGGCCAGCTGTAACGTCTTCAATTCTCCACAAATCTTTTTGCATTTGAGTTTTCTCCTAATGAAAAGGTGGGGGAAGGAGAACCAAATCAATATTGGCGATACAAATAGAAATTGAGGACATTTTCTTTGCTAGAAAATAGCACACAATATAACAATTCTTACATTGTTCAGCATTCTAACAAAAATATATATTTACATATAATTTGTATAATTTGCCTCTGAAAAGGTACAAAGAAGTGAAATGAATGGGAAGTCTGTCATGCCTTCTGGATTGAGGTTCTTTATTGGTTGCTTAAGAGGGAGAGAACAGAAGAGGGCTCTTTACAGGATAAAATCCCTAAGAATCTATCATATTTTAAAATATAAAATAAGCAACCAAATTATAAAACCAAACAATATTCAACATAAACATCACTAAAAACTCCCCAAATGAGATGCCACCAGCAGATAACAATTCATTTGACAGCAATGAATTAACATTATATACATTGAACAAAGGAGATCACTCATATTTCCAAGAAAATTTCGTTGGCAAACTAAAGATATCTAGTCAACTCAGAAAAAAGGACTTATTTGTTATTTTGTCATAGCATTGAACAATTGGCTAATGAGTGGGACATCAGATGCTTATAAAGATTTGGTATCTTTGCTATAATATGATATGAAGCTTTTTTTTTTTCCTCCAGAGAAGAAAAGGGTCTATTTCCCATCAAAATTAGATCTCCCAATGGGATGAGATTTGACTAAAGCTTCAAACTATTTAGGGAACTGCAAAGTGCAAAAATTGAAAATGGCCTCACCTGAGAAATACATGATTTATTCATCTGTTCTTGCAGACTTTGCTTCAGCTGGTTCACATCTTTTTCCAATTTCAGATATTCATTCCAGGCATTTTCCATTTCCTATTGACAAAGACAACAAGCTCACTTTGCCTTTTCATAAGCAATAAAAAGCTATGAAGCTGCTGGTTAATGTACCTATTTAAGCAAGTACTTTATGCAAGTGTAAACACAATTAAAAGTACTTTAGGCTACATGCACACAACTCTTATGTACATCTAAAATTGGACAATATTAAAAAAGTGGCATACAACATAAATGCATAGCTTTCATTTTCTTTGTTTCCTTTCCGTTTAACATCTACATGATATACCCCTGACTGAAATCATTCACTGTTTTGGAGTTCCGTTTCATTAGTATGCTGATGATACCCTATCATATCTTTCAAATTCAGACCGGCCAAGTGAGGCTGTCAAGATTCTGTTCTAGTGCCTGGAGGCTGAGTAGGATTGGATGGAGAGGAAACATCTCCAACTCAATGGATAGGATAGCATTTACCCCTTCAAGGTTAGTGTGCAATCTAGGAATCTTCTTGGATCTGCGGCTCCACTTGGAGAGGAGCTGTAGCCAGATAGCCTTTGCACAGCTTAACCTGTTGTGCCAGTTTTGTTCTTTCCTAGATCAGGGAGCCCTTCAGACAATCACTCATGCTTAGTCATTTTTGGGCTTGAATACTGCTATACGCTCAACATGGGGCTGCCCTTGAAGACCACCCAGAAGCTTCAACTGATCCAGAATGCAGCAGCATAAGTAGTGATGGGTATGTCTCAGTATGTTAATGTAACACCTTTTCTTCATAAGATCCACTGCTGGCCAATTTGTTTATGGTTTAATTTAAGGTACTTGTTATTATCTATACAGTCCTATGTGGCATAGGGCTTGCTATGCCTATCTCCCACATATCTGTCCAGCCATTTCAATTTTGCAGGGTTGGCTTACTCCAAATTCTTTCAATGAAACAATGTCATATATTTGTTCTCTGGAAGTTTATCCTCTCTGTAGCAGTGCCTGGAACTGAAATGAGGTTTCCCGAGATCCAGATGGCTCTCGCTCTGCTGTTCTACAGAAAAGCAATAAAGACTTGGCACTTCACCCAGTCTTTGGCAAGGGAAGGGTGAGAAAATGTTTTTTCATAGTTCCTCAATCCTACTTCAATAACCATCAAATTACATTGCCATGCAGTTCTAGTAGGCTAGATATGGAAATTAGGATTATATATTAAATTAATTCTTAAAGCACCTTCTACTTACTGTAGATACTTTGGATATTTCAGCCCGAATATGTATGAGATCCTCTTGCAAAAGTTTCTGCTGATATGTAATTTTTTCTGTGTGCTGTGGTTGTTCTTTATATTGTTCCATCTGTCTATGTAATACTTCCAAGACAGATTCCAGCTGATCCTAAATAAAGTATTTTAAACATTAAAAAAACCTCTGTACGAGAAAAATTTGAGGAAATTTTTAGACCGTCCTTTAATTTAGTGTTTTAAAAATATTAATTTTTCTACATGAAGTATAATTTTTCTACCTGCCTGCTTGCCTCTCCCTCTCTGCACCTATCCATCCATCTCAAGGTCCATAGACCTTATATTCTTCAAACCTAGTCTTGGATTTGGATACTGAAGATGAGGAAAATTTGTTCAACTACTATATGTCTGGGGTGGGGGTGGGGGAAATATCTAGTCTGCATAATATACATCACATCTCAATTACTGCAATTAATTTTATTTAGCGAGACTTTCCAAAGAGTATTGGTTCAGAATATATTAATTTGTTAATGGTGATGGCGAATACAGTTTGTTTCTGGGTGCCCTTTAATATATTTGTGAACAATTTAATACAAAAACACCTAGTACAAATCTTTCCTCTTTCTACAGTCGTCTTTTAACTGAGACCATGAATAAAGTTTTTCAATGAGTGCAACCAGCTTTGAAAATCCCTTTCAGAGGTAATACCTTCAATTTGTCATGAGCCACGGTGGCGCAGTGGTTAGAGTGCAGTATGGCAGGCTACTTCTGCTGTCTGCTGGCTGCCTGCAATTTGGCAGTTTCACAAGGCTCAAGGTTGACTCAGCCTTCCATCCTTCCAAGGTGGGTAAAATGAGGATCCAAATTGTTGGGGGCAATATGCTGACTCTGTAAATCGCTTAGAGATGGCTGTAAAGCACTGTAAAGTGGTATATAAGTCTAAGTGCTATTGCTATTGTCTAAAATTCGGCTCTCTGTAAGCTAAGAAAATGAAAATGAGGATAGATACACTGGCATCATTCAGGTATTTTCCTACGCTTTTTAAAAATGTGTCCTTTCAATTTGGAAGTTATTTAAAATATAGACTCTATAAGAATTTGGTAATCTTGAGCCACTTCCAGTTTGGACTTCTTCGGCGACGGACTGAAATCGCGATCGTGCGCGGTTTTGATCCGTGCTCGCCGCTGGAGCACCCTGAGCCGCCCGGATTCGGGGCTGAAGCCACCCCATAGAGGTAGTGAAGAAGGGGGAGCCGTCAGCAGGGTTGAAGAGAGCCGCATCTCTCCTCCTTGGCTGGCCATTACTCCCTTTTCCAAAGGTGGTTGCAGCGGTGGTCAGAAATGGCCACCTCAAAGAAGAACCTGACCGGGCAAAATTGTGCAGGAGGAAGTTTAAAGGAGAAAGTTTGACTGACCGGGTTGAATGGAGAACATCTATTTAAGGTACCTGGAACCTGAATTTTAAAGACTAATACTATTCCTAAAAAAGATTTTAAGCTGCGAAACAGAAAGGGAAAGGAAACGGAATTGGCTTTTTTCCCTCTAACATTGACAGTTTTAACTGACTTGGAACATTAAGAAGAAGAGATTTGAATAAGAAATTGATACTAATCCACTTTTACATTAATAGGCTATTTCTAGCTGAAAATAAAGTGTCAAAGGGATAAAGATTCTTGGATAATTTAAAAACTTTATTTAAAAAAAGAAAGAAAGCAGCGGACGGAAAAAGGAAAAAAGAGGGTGGAATCTGGAAAATGGAGGAGACCACCTGGAACTTAAAAAAAATTGATCGTGAAGTTTTAACAAGGCTTGCAAAAGATACACTGCAGCTGAAATGTTGTCACAAGATAACAAAGCCCCTAGAAAGAGAAAGTGAGAAAAGAAGCAAGAAACAGTTTTGGATTATTGGATGATTCCTGGAACCTTGGATGGAGGATCCTAATGAAATAAAATAAAATCAATTGGGTGTTGTTTAAAATTTTTTTAAATGGCATCAATCCTTGAAGAGTTAGAAATGAGACTTAAAGAACAAAAAGAAGACACACAAGAGGAAAGAGGATCTTTTGGCTTCATATTTCAATTTTTAGAAATTGAGATCTTGAACTATGAAAAACAACAAGAAACGCTGGCAGAACAAGAAGGGCGGGACAACGAAGAAGCCATCTTTAATGACCAAGCAATTTTAAGCGGGGTAAAAAAGGGAAAGAGGGGGGGAAAGGGAGTTAAAAACTTAAGCACTGAAGCAACAACCAAAAAAAGAGTAATTTGAAAAGTAATCATAATATCAGGAAGAAGCAGAAGGGAGGATCACAGAAGGGAGAATCAGATAGAAAAGGGAATAAAAAGAGGAGGGAGAAGAAGAGAGGGAAGAGGGAAAGGAAAAGAAGCTACAAAGGACAGAAACAAGATATAGAGGTACAGGAAAAGCGTACAAGAATTAAAGGTATAAACCTATTTAAAAGACACAGAGACAATGGTTAAAATTTAACTTAAGGAGAGGATTCTGCAAGGGTGCATGGGATAACATTGTTATATTAGAAATAGAAAAGGGTTAGAAAATATGTTAGATGATTAAAGTGATAGAAAAAATTTCTATTGATGTGTAGTGGAATATTTGTTTGTAAAGAGAATAAGGCTCTCAATGATTTAAAAAGAACGTTTAAAAAAACTGAAAAGAAACATGGAAGATTTTTATCAGTTGACAAGATGAACTTGAATAAGAATAATAACTTTATTGACTACTGTTAATAACTATTGTTTGGTTTTTTATTTAAAGACGGTAATAAGTAAAATATGAATATAGATGATTAAAGTGAAAGACAACTGATATTACTAGGTAATGTTTCTTAAAAGAAATAGAAATGTAAAAGATTGTTATTTATATTAATGGTAGAGCTGTACTTGAATAGAATAATTATTCCAGTTACTATTGTTATACACACACACACACACACACACACACACACACACACACACACACACACATATATATATATATATATATATATATATATATATATATATATATATA